TCTCCCACTTAGATCTACCAGATGATGCTAGCCTGGGGAAGTCTCCTGCTCCTTCTGGCAGCACCATCACGGGCGTGAGGCCTCAGTGGCACTATGAAAACTGAACAGATCAAACCAGCACTGCAAAGCCTTTGGACATTAAATTGTCATTGGAATCTCGCCCCACAAAAGTAGACCAGGACCTGCATGCTAAATCTAAGCAGGGCGACTGTCTGATAAAATTAAAGATCTAAGTAGTACTTAGCCAAAGTAGCCAGGATTCAATGGAAAATCACCTGTAGGACCAAGAACCAAAGAAGCAACACCTGAATGAGAGAAGATCATAAATTGATGCTAACAGCAAGACGAAATTATATGTTGGAATTATCCAAAAAGGATATAAAGCAGACATCATAAAAAATCTTCAACAATCGATAATCTTGAAACAATCAAAATGTATATATCTCAAAGAAATGGAAGTTATAACAAAAGAACCAAGTGGAAATTACAGAACTGAAATGTACATTAACAGAAAATTAAAAAAAAAAAAAAAAGCCTCACTGGATGAACTCACTAGCAGATGGAGATACAAGGACCAAATCCAAGAATTTAGGACAGAGCAAGAGAATTTACCCAATCTGAACAAAAATTTGACAAAGCCTCAGGGGCCTATACGGCTATGACAAAAGATCCAAAATTTATGTCATCAGGGTCTTAGGACAGGAGATAGAGGACGGGGCTGAATTTCTGAAGAAATAATAGCTAAACACTTGCCAAATCTGGCAAAAGACACAGATTCAAGAAGCCGAGAAAACTCCAAAGAGGATAAACCTAAGGAAATCCATGGCAAGACATTATATATAATTAAACCTTCAAAAACTAAAGACAGAGAAGTAAACTTGAAAGCAGCCAGAGAGAAACAACACACCACCTACAGGGGAACACACCAATTCAAACAACGGACTTCTCATCTGTAACCTAAGAAGCCAGACAGAAGTAGCACATGATATTTCTCAAGTGCTGAATGAGAAGAACTTCAAGTTCTATACCCAGCAAAACTATCCTTCAAGAATAGACAGGAGACAGGAAAGACATTCCCAGAGGAAGAAAAAGAATTTGTTCTAAACATACCTACCCCTTAAAGAATGCTGAAGAGAAGAATAAAGTGAAAATCGTTGAGCAAGTGATGGGAATGGAGAGGAGTAATTTAGGGACAATAGTCAAGAAAGGCCCTTCTGAGGAAGTGACGTTTCAGAAGAGGCCTGGAAAAAGGGAGAGGGCAAGCTGAGGAGGTGCATTCCAGGCAAAAAAAAATATTAAGGACACACTCCTGAGACTGTAACGGGTTTGGTGTGCACAAGGAACAAGGTGTGCTGTTGGGGTAGAGTGGGATGCATGCAGGGGAGTGGCAAGAGGAGGCCATTTGGAAAGATTAGTCAAAGATACCATCTTGTGGGGGTCTGAAGCCCTCGTAAAAAAGCCTAGACTTTTTCTTCTGCCAGTTACAGAACACTTTTGCAGTGGGTCATGGTTTTAGGAGGGAACCCATGTGAGCTGGCTGCAGAGTCTGTGCTTTTAGACATAGACCAATGGTTCTCAAAACGAGCAGGCATCCACGCCAGCTGGAGGGCTTCAGGAAATGCAATGGCTGGCCCTGCCCTCGGAGTTTCTGATTCAGTATGCCTGAAGTAGGGTCCAAGAATCTGCATTTCAAGTAAGATCCAAAGTAATGCTGGTGCTGCCGGTTCCTGAACCAGACTCAAGAACCACTGCTCAATATAACTGTGACTTTCTGCACTTAAGACATGATATAGAAGAGACTTCAAAATTGCCCAAATAGTAAAGATATTAAGAAACATGTGTGTCATTCTTACTGCTTAAGAGGACAAAAAGAGAACACAGTAGAAAAAGGGAGAGAAGAATTTAACATTTCCGTATAAATCTTCTATATTCCAGGGGTGTCATGTTCAGAACATGATAAATTTCATCCCATAGCATGAAGAGGCTCTGATATCTCCCCTTTCACAGAAGAGAAAACTGAGGTAAAAAAAAAAAAAAAAAAGGCAGAATCACTCATCCAATGTTACACAGCACGTGAGGGACCAACGTGGAAGGAGACTTCATATCTGTTCTGGTGTATTTCTCTCTAAGATATCTTGAAAATATGTCTTCCAAGGGCATTTGGAGAAACATTGCCAAAATGGTAGAAAACCATGTAGAAGATGCTAAATCTGCTTTACCTTGAGAGAGGTGGCCATTGAAGAAGAGTTCCTTCCTTTTAACAGCCTTGGACTTCAAACGTTAAAGGGAATCAACTCTAAGTAGGAACATCCTACCCCATAATCCACACGGGCCTGGGGAACAAAAGAGGTGGATTCCAGGCCCACCTTCCTCCCATGACTTATCAGAACTGTTGGCAAAGCCATTCAGTTCCCTGGGCCCGTTTCAGGATAGTGGGTGCTGTGTCGTTTGACAATGGTGGTGGCTGTGGTGGTGGCAGCTGTTAAGAGGTTTCAATGTAAACAGACACATCCCATGTTGCAAACTGTGATAATGTAAGCAGTTGATCCCTCATCTTCCAGCTACACATGTTCTCTTCACAGTCTTGATCCCAGTGGAAAGTGTCAAAGTAAAAACATTAACATTTTTGATGGAAACTCTACGAAGGGGTCTCTGCTAAGGAAAGTCTCCAGTAAACATAACTATGTTCCATTTGAGACATTTCATGGTTTGGAAATTCTGACTGTCAAAAAGTCAAAGTTCCCTTAAACTTCCACTACTTCTCCTCTGGAACCCCTGGTTCTCATTTAAATGTAAACTTTCAGGAGCATACTCATACACACAAGGTTAACACAGATACCTGCGCTGGGTGTTTGCAATCCTGAGTCTGTTTCTTCAAAGACAGCCACTCATTAAAGCAGTGGTTCTCTAACTCATGTGCATAAAAATCACCTGGAGAGCGTGTGAAATCCAACTTCTGGGCCCCACCAGATTCTGAGATTCACTTGTGGAGCCCATGAATTTGCCTTTCTAACCGAGGCAGATGGATGGGGTTGATCAGACAGCTACGTGTTGAGGTGTACTGTGTGACAGACCAAAGCAGACGCTCCAAGTTCAGCCTGTTTCATAATAACCCTGAGATCTCATGAAATGCCTATGTAGGGACTGCTCCTCCCTCTGATCTCACTCATAAGATCTGCGTTGGGACTGGAGAACATTCAAGTTTGACAAGTTCCCCCAAGTGATTCTGACCGAGGCTGGAGAGCAAATGATGAGAAATACAGACTGAATTTGTCCCCAAAGCAGAGTGCCAAGCAATTCCGCAAGAGGGTTCTGGAACAAAGCTCCACTCTGGTTTGCTTTCCGAGGCCCAGAGTGGACCGTGTCACTCTCCTCGGAAACCACGGAATCCTTGGTGGTGGCAGATCTCCAGAGTCAAGTAGTCAAGGCTTTCCGAAGCCAGACTCAGACCACCTTTTCGGGCCTTACCTGACTTGCAGCCCAGGCCTTAGCCAGCCTACACCGTTCCACACCCCCATAAAAAGAGCCTTTGGTGTTGGCGGTCTGTGTTTCACTCGTCCGGCTGCTCGCTTACTTACCGGGGATGGGAGGGACGGAGGGTGGCTTCACAAAGGCTGCATCTGAGCTGAGCTGTGAACAACGGTGTAGGGTAAGGAGAGGCGGGAAGCAGGGGAGGAGGGCTCCTGTCTGCTGGCACTGACAGTCTGAGGAGCCATGGGAAGGAAGGACAGTCTGGAACAGCAGGTCAGGCAGAGGTGGCTGATGAGGCTGGGAAGCGGGGCTGGGGCCAAGTGAGGAGGAGCCTCAAACACTAGACTTTGCGGCCACACTTTAGGATGAGTGACTGGGCAGCAGCCCTGCACCGAAGACAGACAATCCAGCGATGAAAGTGGGATGGAGACCTCAACACGCCCCCTTGGGAAGGGGGGAGATGAAATAACACTCGAAGTGGTGAAAATGTGGGAATGAAAATACATAACCCGCATCTTGATTTAATTTCTTGATCACCACACACCCCCTGCTGCTACTTTACTGCGGCGTCCTGTGAAGGTGCGTTTGCTCGTCCTGACTGCACAGACTTGGCTTATTGCATGTGGGGAAGTTATAAGGAGAAAAAGACTTCACAGACATTTTGTAAATACTGTGGTCTGCTGCTTCTGTTGAGCAAATTCTGGCAGTATTTTCATAGGAAATAACAATAAAGCAATTATATACCTAAAAATATATTCCTGTACAGCCATTTACAAATATAAGAAAATCAGTATCTGTGAATATCTAATATATGTCATGTAATTTAGGCCTTCATTAACATGGAAAGACTGAGAAATGGAAAATCAGGAATTAAAGCTCTTCTAAATTACTTCTCATACCATAATCATGAATGTTGTATTATTTTAATTATTTTGTAAGACAGACTTTGTGTGTTCTAGTTGTAACTCTATTGAGGCAACTTCTGAACCAAAGAACAGACCATAACGATCAGAAGCTGTATGATTGGAAATGAAAGGGTTTGGCTTTGAGACACGCTTCTCCTGAGTGCAGGAAGGCATGCTGTTTGGGGCGTTGGGATGGCTCAGTCGGTTGGGCATCTGACTTCAGCTCAGGTCATGACCTTGTGGTTCGTGAGTTCGAGCCCCACATTGGTCTCTGTGCTGACAGCTCAGAGCCTGTAGCCTGCTTCGGATTCTGTGTCTCCCCTTCTCTCTGCCCCTCCCCCACTCACGCTCCTCTCTCTTGCAAAAATAAACATTAAAAAAAATTTTTTTTAAAGAAATGCCGTTTAATGGCTACATATGTGGTGAATAAATTAGGAAACGCTTGATAAAGCGATATATAGACCTCCTGTCGCTGAGGTCAGAGTGATTTGTACAAGAACATTGTATTGGTTCTTACAGTTTAAATAACTAAATTCACTAAAACGTTAAATGAGTATAAAACATCTTTTTCATGTAAAACAAATATTAGATGAAAATAAAATATTTCTATTCATTCAAGACAAATAGTTTCCAGAGCAGATGCATTTATTTTTTAGATGCAAATATACCACCCCTCAAGACCTATGAAATCATTACAATTTCTGAAAATTACGTCTGCAGAGAGAGAACCGCGATGTCCTTGATTCATAGGCCTTCACCCTCCTGTAAGAGCCTCAGGGCTTCGTGCTTGGAACATACCAGGGAAGGTCTCAGGAAAGAACAACCACTATCAGCTCAGAAAATAAGAGTTCCTTATACTTTCTGGGTTTACAGAGATGAAACAAGGTGACTTCTCTTATTTTCCACCAAATGCTAACCTAAAGTAATAAACTTAACAAAGGCCAGTTCGGATTTTTCTTTCCTATCCACACACAGCTCCAACATGACAGAACATAAAATTAATGGCCCCAATGTAAACTAATGGTGCAGAAGCAACACATCTAATTTTTTATCTGAAATAAACAATATAAAATGTAACTATGTGATCGGAAACTAAAGGTTGCAAGTCTTAAGTACTCAGTTTTAGAGAAAGAAAAATATATGAAATACTGTATTTTTTCATACCCTTAAAACATAAGGTCTTTGTATAAATTAAAACGGTCTTAGATCAAACACATATACAATACAGACTCATGAATTGCAATAGAAATTCTAAAAAGTTTAAACACTTAAACAAAAAAGTAAATAAAAGTAAAAAATAAAAATAAAAACATTGCAAACAAATAATTTATAACCCTATCAAGTTAAATCTTAGTGCACAGGACTGGGTTTACAGGAACAAGTACAGTTAAAATGAACACTGAGGTCACGTTATGGAAGACAATGATCCTCAGATGCCATGAAGTACTTGCTTTGAACTTGTGGGGTTTTGGCTTTGTAATAAATACGTAATAAATATCTGTAGTACACTGCACGCGTTGAGCACTTATCTTTCTCCATTTGAAAGTCCTTCTCCGGAGTCACACTGCCTGAGGGCCGCCCCGGCGGGCAGGGAGTAAGGATTCTGCAGCACGTCCATTAGCGGAGCCATCTTTGTGTCTATGTGCTCCTGCAGTTCATGTATCCGCCGATCGATGTAGTCCACCAGCCTCTTTTCCATCAGGTCCATAGTTTTAGTAAGGATCTTTTCCAAGTAGGAGCACACGGGCTGCTCTTCCGTTCTACAAATAAGTTTAAAAACAAAACGATATAACAATGATTCCTGACAGCATCACAAAAACAACCAAGCTCTACTGAAACAATCAGCCAACACCCACTGCTGAGATCTGTCTCCACAGCTGTGCTGTCTTCATACAACATATTTCCAGGTTCCAAAAATACACATGGAACAGGCAACCGCAACCCTGAGTGCCCAAAGCATTCTGGATCCTTAACTCCTGAAACATTGAAGCATACAACTGAATGAGAATATAAAAATGATACAATTTCTACCCTCAAAGAACAAGTCTTTACAAAGGGTCTTTCCATTTGGAGCTCCAAATCAAAACTGATATTGTCTGATTTTTAAAGGTCTCCACCTGTCTTCTAAGAACTTCCCTAAACAACCCTACAATTAAAGTTCTGTCTTTTGTCACCATGTAAGTACCAGAAAGTTTTTTTCTTTTTTTTCAAAGTTTTTTTTCTAACCTAATATGAAAACATCTAAAAATGAATGTAACTGGAATGGGCAAACAGAAATGAGAATAGTAAAAAGCACTCCAGTTGCTCAAGTTCACAACCAACAAACACTAGACAGTGACCTTCAGAGTGTGGTCCACAAAACCCTGGGGTCGCTGTGACTTTTCAGCTTCCAAGAAGTCACAAGTGGTTCTGTACTACTCCTAAGGTGTCATCTGAACGTTTCATCCTCAGATTCTCATGAACGTACAGTGACATTGTCCCGAAGCTACACAAGGTGTAATGTCACTGCTCTGATAATCAACAGAAGTTGTGGTTGCGTATTTTCCTGTTCTTTAGACTTTCCTAAGGTAGTAAGTTTAGGGTATAAATAAATACTTTTTCAGAGATTAACTCAGTTTGCTCTTGGTACCTCTACGATCTTATGAGCTATTGATGACACATGCTATAATGCAACATACAGGAGAATGTGACCAAAAACTAATATCAATTTTATAAATTGATATTTTTTAAGTTTATTTATTTTGAGAGAGAAAGAGAGAAAGTGAATGGGGGGGAGGGAGGGCAGAGAGAGAGAGAATCCCAAGCAGGCTCTGCACTGACAGTGTGGAGAGCCCCTGTGGGGCTCGAACTCAAGAACTGTGAGATCATGACCTGAGCCGAAATCAAGGGTAGGATACGTAACTGATTGAGCCACCCAGATGCCCCCAATTTTATACATTTAAATAATACCATTCTTATAAAACTTTTTTAGAAAATGTATTTTTTCATAAAAATTGTTATGTTACTATAGAATGGGTTTCAAATTTTTTATATTCTCTACATAAGGGTTCTTTAGAATCCTCAATTATATTTCAGAGTGTAAAAACCAAAAAATTTAGAACACCACTCTAGAATATAGGACAGATTTTTCAAACTGTTATGTTTTTTCTTTTTTTTCCAGGGGTACCGGGGTGGCTCAATTGGTTAAGCGTCAGACTCCTGATTTCAGCTCAGGTCACGACCATTTTACCAAGGTCAAAATGACTCAGCAAAACCTCAAAGCATGGGGTCTGCTTTTCACGGAGCATACATTATATATCTGCTTTGTTAAATAAATAAATAAATACATACATACATACATACATACATACATAAATAAATAAAGTCCAATTCAAGCATCATACAGGGGCGCCTGGGTGGTTCAGTTGGTTGGGTGTCCCACTTCGGCCTAGGTCATGTTCTCACGGTACAGAGTTCAAACACTGCATTGGGCTCTGTGCTGACAGCTCAGAGCCTGGAGCCTGTTTCAGAATCTGTGTCTCCCCCCACTCCCTCTCTCTCTCTCTGCCCCTTCCCCACTCGCACGCTGTGTCTCTTAAAAATAAACATAAAAAAAATAATAAAGTCATAAAGTCTTGCACATACTAAAAAGGTAACATAAAGTCCATTAACTTTCTGGAATGTCCTTCATTATGGTGATTTCTAAATCTTTAGGTAAAAACACGTATCACCCTGTACCCACTGTTCCTTCCCAGAACACTCTCTTCTTTGTAAAGACTGAATAATCCCCACAACTGTGTTAACCTGGCCTCCAATAAAATTCTTTTCCTTTCTCTTTAAAATTTTGAAAAAGGTCAGTTCATCTTGCACTGACCGATCTGAGAGAAATGGAGACATCCAATCTCACCTGGCCCCAGGGCAATTTTTACTTTCAACTTAATTTGTTTTTGTTTGCTTTATTTTGTTTTGTTTGTTTACTGTAACACATACCAACTAGAGTTCACTGATGTAATCTATCAGCAACTAAAGAATAACTTTTTTTTTTCCTTACTGAGTATCCTTACTAAAAAATGTTACTAAGTAACAAATACCCTTACAGAATAAAAACAATGCTTTTTTTCAGTAACTTACTAAACTCTTCAAGTTTCAACGCTATTGGAGACCTGACGAAAATGTCAACCAATAAAACTACTTCATTTTACATGTGAAAAAAAATCTCAGCCACAAGAGTTAAACAGTAAGGCCAGTAGTTAAGCCAGAACTATGACTAGAGTCATGAATTTCAGTCTAGTGCAATATTCTGACACATTACATCTACATGAAGAATGGGGAAACATACCAAATACTTAGCCACCCATTAATGAAACCAAGACTATAAAAAAATTAGAATTATGAAATCAGCAGATGAGAGCCTGTACACCATAAATGATTATAAGCTTAAAAATGTCATTGATGACTAGACTAAAATTAGCCTCTAGCAAAGAAGATCTACAAGAAAATCTACCATGATGACTCAGTGATTATAATCAAGCACAAAATATTTATATTATGGTTCCCACAGCTCCTCCCCAATTATACAATAACTTTCCACTCCAACCCTTATTTGACGCTTGTACCCCTTCCATATAATGCCTCAGAAGTGACCAACATCTTCAGTCTCAGACACTTCTTTAAAAGAAAACCATTCTACTCTACAGAATATTTATTCCCTAGAAGTATGTTAATATTTATTCCCTGTAAGTACATCAATGTGTAAAATGAGAAACTCCTAAAATAACCTCTGGAAACATTTTTAGGCAGTAGTTAGTGAAACAAATGTTCTCCTCCAACTGATTCTTCCACCTACGAAATCTAAATCACACTTGTCTTAAATACTTACACAGCACCAGCAATGCCTTCGCCAGTCTTAGTGAGGTTTTCCTGCCAGTTAGTGCTACGTCCCACGCAGAGATGGTTCACTTGACTACATAAATTCTGGAGAAAAGGCAGCAAGTCAGAGTTAGGGATACTGGAACTGTCACTTGCTTTCTTTGGTAGCAAAGAAGAAACTGCATTTCTGAGGTCTTTCTCGAAAAGACCATGGCTTTGTGACACAGTTTTATACTCTTTGAGGTCTGTGGTCTTTCCTCCACCAGGTGGCTGTGGACTTTTATCAATGTGAGCTTTTAAGTCTTCCATCACGTTTCCAGAGGTCAATCCGGTTCTGAAAGGAAAAGGCGTGGGCGGGGACTTGTCGAAGGCTCCTGAAGCAGATGACGACTGCAGGTCAGCCAAGCGTTTGTAGCTAGCATTTCCCAGAATGGACTGAAGCTGCTCTCCAATGGGAACGCAATTCTAAGCAAGGCAGAGAAATACACGAGACTATTAACAGTGAGGACAGCTAACTTTGGGGTAATTACTGTGAGGCAGGCGATGTGCATCCTTTCACTTGATCCTCAAAATATCCACGCGACGCAGGCTACAATTACTATCCTGATACTGAGTTGAGGAGACCCAGGCTAAAGGCACTTGTCTACGGTAACACAACTAGTAAGTGGCAGAACCGGGGCGTGACCCGGGCCACCTAACTCCAGAGTCTGGGCTTCTAACGATTTCACTGTAGTGTTTCCCCAAAGGAAATATTACGTATTCACATGCTTAGTAAAACTGCACCAGCATTAATGTCTCCACTACAAAGGCCTCCTTAATTTATGGTATAAAATGCACTATTCTCAACTGAGTCACAATTAATTGATCATTTTCTTAGAATTAAATATCATTCACCCAATTTGCACATATGGCAAACTACTCATTTTTATTAGGTCTATCTTTTGCAAATGAGGTTTTCATGGAGGCCACAGAGACAGTCACTTAAAGTTAGATGTACTATGCACCTTTGTGACTTTTTTTTAAATGTTTTTTATTTATTTCTGAGAGAGAGAGAGAGGCAGCTTGAGCAGCGGAGGATCAGAGAGAGAGGGAGACGCAGAATCCGAAGAAGGCTCCTGGGTCTGAGCTAGCTGTCAGCCCAGAGCCCGACACGGGGCTCACACCCATGAACCGTCAGATCATGACCCGAGCCGAAGTCGGATGCTTAACCGACTGAGCCACCCAGGCGCCCCCTTTGTGACATTTTCAATGAATAAAATGAGCTACCTATGGCTGTGTTTCTTTTCAGAATTTCCAGGATAATAAGAGTTCTGTTTTGTGGCCTCAACCAACTGCTCATGCAGTATACTTCCTGAGAAGACTCTGGTTTGTGTTGAAGGGAAGGCTATCATATCTCTGATATGCTCTTTAATTTTTCCACAGGAGAAAAGCAAAACGACCTTTACCATAACTAAGAGTTATGGTATTTCTGTCCTGAAATCCAAAGAATAGACCTGTATGACAGATTCTTCTTGGGATATATCATCCCATAGTTCCTGCTGTTTAAGAGTTTGTGAGAGAGGGGCCTGGGTGGCTCAGTTGTTTAAGCATCTGATTCTTCATTAAGCTTAGGTTACAATTTCACATTTTGGAGTTCCAGCCCTGCGTCAGGCTCTGTGCTGACAGTGCTGACAGTGCAGAGCCTGCCTGGGATTTTCTCTCTCCTCTCTCTCTTTTTCAAAAATAAACAAATATAATTAAAAAAAAAAAAGAAAAAAAAAAAAGGATGTGCCTGGGTGGCTCAGTCGATTAAGCATCTCGCTTTGGTTCAGGTCATGATCTTGTGGTCCGTGAGTCGAGCCCCGCGTCGGGCTCTGGGCTGACTGCCAGCTCAGAGCCTGGAGCCTGTTTCAGTCTGTGATTCCCTCTCTCTCTGACCCTCCCCTGCTCACGCTGTCTCTCTCTCTCTCTCTCTCCTAGAAATAAATAAAACATTAAAAAATTTTAAAAAAAATAAAAATAACTTTAAAAAAAGTCCAATGTAAATGCAATCGCTATGCAAATTGTCCTTTTCTGACATATCTTAATATTGTAATTATAAGAAAATCAAGGATTTTTTAGTCATTTTTTCCCTCAGATCAGAGCTCTTTGGGTGATTTTTTTCCTCTCTATGAAACATCAAATATTCACAGGTGAATCTATATGCCACTAGAGTAAGTGAACAAACCACAGTGCCTGGTGGCTATTCTACTTCTTCTTCTTTTTAATGTTTATTTATTTCAAGAGAAAGAGAGGGTTCATGTGTGAGAAAGAGAGGGGGGAGAGAGAGAGAGAGAGAGAGAGAGAGAGAGAGAGAGAGAGAGACAGACAGACCCAAGCAGGCTCCACGCTGTCATTGCAGAGCCTGATGCAGGGCTCAAACTCACGAACCATGAGATATTGACCTGAGCCAAAATTAAGACTCAGACACTTAACCCACTGAGCCACCCAGGCGCCCCTTCTACTTCTTTTTATGTAAGTTTGTTCAATTCTTATTTTTAACTGTCCTGTCATATATTATTTTGAGGTCACATCAGATCCTTTTGAAAATGAACAGCTAAATACATATTAAATAATCTAAAGGACTTACTCTTTGCCAAAATAATTATTTGCCAAAATAATTCCACTCCCTGAGGAGATACTGGAACAATTTACAAAAACAGACATTTAATTCCTTCTATGCTACGAAAAAAATTCTAAAAGACTTAAATATCCATGAATCAATGACTGACTACATACCACAGAATATCCATAAAATCAGAGATACAGATTTATTGCTTAGTAAGAGGCCTATGATATCCTTTTAAATGAAAAAAAAATTTATGTCTTTATTTTGAGAGAGAGAGAGAGAGAGAGAGAGAAAATGGGGGAAGGGCACAGAGAGAAGGAGACAGAATCTGAAGCAGGCTCCAGGCTCTGAAAGCTCAGAACCTGATGCGGGGCTCGAACGCACAGACTGTGAGATCATGACCTGAGCCAAAGTCGGATGCTAAACTGACTGAGCCACCCAGGAGCTCTATTCAGATAACTTTAAACAACAGCTGTATGTTAGGCACTTTGACACAGAATTCCTACTTAGGTACTCTAAATTACTAGAATAAAAATAAATCAAAGCTAGTACATCTGAATTTCAAATCCAAAGAACTAAAGAATAACTTTAACATTTATTGTGATAAAACAAAAGTCGGTAGTGTCAAACCAGGCCGCATGACTCCGAGTGTTAACCTTTAATACAACTTTCAAGAAACAAGTAATCCTCAAGGCACAGGCGAAGCAGCGGGAGGTCTAGGATTCCGACACAGCACCCCATGTCCTCTCTTTCCCCTTCAGGACAGGCCCAGTCCAACCTGACATGCGAAGGCTCTAAAACGGTGTGTGGCGAACCACTTCATAGCAGGTCATGAAACATCCCCATTTTATGCTCAGATAATTAAATGGTTTATGTGGCATGTTCCAAGAAGCCATGCCTTAGAAATCCAGAGAGTCCTGGTTTGTTAACTAAAATCAGTCCTAGACCATCAGGATCCACTCCACAAATAAGGATTCTCCCACATTAGCGTGTAGAAAGGGAGACTGAATGGGATCACCTTTCTTCTCCGGGGCGTCCCCCAAGCCTCCTCACATGAAGCAGTAGGTGGAAAGCAAGTTACAACACAGGGTCTAGAGCATTACCCCGTGAGTGGTGGCTGGGACAGTTTATGTATAGTTTCCAAATGCACAGAAAACTCTAGAAGGATACACACGAAACTGTTAATAGTCACCTCTGGGCAATGGGATGACAGCTGGGAAAACACGTTGACTTTTTACTCAATACCCTTCTGCACTGATTCTAATTCATGGCAAAGAAAACGAATACAACTTAAGGAATAAAACCTTAAGACTTAAAGACATGTTCCCTCTCCAAAATAAATCTACCATCTCTTTTTCCCCCAAGTTTTTAAAAGATAGAAATCAGTCAGTGAACTAGTCATATTTAACTCATTCATCTCTTCTAATTATTTACAAAATCTTTGCTTGCTTTCGAAAACTTCTTCGTTTTGAAAATCTTCAGTCTGTTTCTCCATAGAATCTTTGCACTGACAAGAGTTATTCTCCAAGCACAGTGGGCATAAATTTCACATCGCATCCTTGTTTAAAATACTGATTCCTGGATCCCACTCTGGGAGACTGAGCAGGTAGAAAGTGTGGCGAGGATACGTGTTTTGTAAACATTGGAAAGGATTATGATATAGGTGTTCTGTGGATCATAGTTTAAAAACACACTATTCCCAACCCTTTTCAAACATTAGTCTCAGGAGCTGGACACGTTCTTCCACTATTCTCAATATTCCTTTACACAACTCTCTTCCAATTTCCTCTTTATCTCTATCCTTGAGAAAAACCTTCTGAAGTGCTCAAAACAGTGCCTCATCTACCAAGAAGGTGCTGAATGAATGAGCAAATTTGTGAAAAATTGTTAAGGTCTGTAGTAAGATATTTTGTAGAAGGGAAAGTCTACAAAATGCTATTTTACCAAAGCAAATAAAGGTAACAGTCCAATCAATAGTAAAAGTTCTAAGAAAAGATTTAAGTCAATACACATCCTTATAAAAAGCCATCACTCTGAAATGTTTAGAAGTCCCCGGACAGAACCCATTTCTACCCACCTGCTGCTGAAATCGAACCATATCCATCAGTTGCTGAGCTCCAGGTGACAACTTTGACCCCATGGACTCCACGATCGTCTGGACCCTCTGCAGGTCTATCCTTGATCCCAGAGCAGGAGAGCTTGTGGAAGAACTGGCTGAAACCTGCCTCATGTGTACCACAACTCTACTGAGGAACACATATGGCTTTTCACCAAAGGAGAGCAACTGTTACAAAACAAGGAAGTTCCAGAAATAAGGACATTAAACAATAATCACTATTTAAGGTCACTTTTTAATATAAACTAGCAATAGTAATGTATTTAAGAAAACAAAACTTTAAATACATTTTCATTTTTTTAAGTTTTCCTGAAAACTGTAATGGTCTACACTTCTAATCTATTATGAGGCTCATAGGAACTATTTATATAAAAAACTATCATTTCAGGGGTGCCTGGGTGGCTCAGGTTAAGCATCCACCTTCAGCTCAGATCTCCTGCCTCATGAGTTCAAGCTCCGCATCCGGCTTTCTGCGCTCAACATGGAGCCTGCCTCAGATCCTCTTTCTCTCCTCTCTCTCTCTCTGCCCCTCCCCCATTCTCTCTCTCTCTCTTTCTCTCAAAAATAGATAAACATTAAAAAAAAAAAGAGTATCACTTCAAACTGAAAAAATATACAGAATAGCCAAAAGGGTCTACAATAAAGTTTCATTCACTTAATGAATAAAAATGAACTATACCAATCTGAGAACTTAAGATAGCACTGCTAGGTATAATAGTTGTGCTTAATACAAAGGCATTTCCAAAGTATTTACTGAAATACTCAAAATATGTCAGTCTTTTAGAATTTAGAATTATAAGGGAAAGTTAGACTGGTCTAACATAACCTGCTGTTTCACACACAAAAAAGATGAGGTCAGGGGTGATTTTCTGACATGTCAAAGGGCTACCCAAATTAGTAAAAATCAAGCTTGGAACCTAGCCCTTCTGGCTTCTATAGCAGCGTCCTGCCCAATACTTTATGCTGCCTCACTTCATCCCTATTTCTGAACCAAAAGACACTTTTCATGTGTTGATATGAACAAAGTAGCAAAGTGGAAAGGGAACAGGATTTAGAATCAGACAGAACTGGGTTCAATGAGGATTCTACTTAGAGCCTGTGTAACACTAGGAAAAGGCGAAAACCTGAATCAGGAAAAAAATCAGGGAGGGTTTGGATTTCACATAGTTGTTCTGAAGATTAGGTGTTAAAATTCCCAGTACCTACCGCTGAGTAAGTGCTCAAAAATATGTGTCAGGAGCTACTGATTACTCCAGATTAAGCTCTAGTGGCTGTAGGATCTCTCTAAATGAAACTAGCCTTTGCACTCCCACAGAGTGGAGCTTCCAAAGAACAGTTACAAAAAGCACTTACTTTCAGAAACACACACAAAACCACATGTAACGTAAAACACAAGTCGACCCAGATCCATGATCCAGGAACTTTGAGTGTGGCAGCAAAGAGGTGCACTGTCCTCAACAATGAAGGAATCTCCCCATTAAATTTCTACACCTACCCTCGAACCTCCTTACTATCCCTTTTCTGCTTTTTCATCCTTGTTGCCCAACTGAATATGGGATACATTTTACTCACCGAGTCAGCTTATACTCTATCTCATCACGCTAGAATGTAAGCAACACAAGGGCAGTCATTCATTATGTTACTGCTAATTCCTACATGCCTAACACGGTATCTAACATCAGTAGGCATTCAAATACATCAGTTGAATGAATGAATCACTTTAAATAAATCTGAAAGCTATTAATATATACTAAATAAAACAATATCTTGGAATAATCAATTCTGTAAATTTGCCACTAGCAGATAATGAAATTACTTATTTTGTATTATTCTAAAGTCTTGCAACCCTGTATAAAGTAACGTGGAGATAAAAAGATTGCAAGTGTTTATTTCCTTCTAAAAAAATTTAAAAGCACAGGGGGCCTGCATGGCTCAGTCAGTTAAGCATCTGAATTCAGCTCACATCATGATCTCACGGTTCACAAACTTGAGCCCTGTGATGGGTTCTGTGCTGACAACTCTGAGCCTGGAGCCTGCTTCAGATTCTGTCTCCCTCTCTCTCTGCCCCTCCCATACTCTCTCTCTCTCTAAAGATAGACATTAAAAAAAAATTTTAATATATAGATATAATTCATCTGCCAAACAATCAACTGATTTAAAGTGTACAATTCAGTGGATTTTAGTATATTCATAGAGTTGTGTAACCACTGCAATTTTATTTTTTTTAATTTTTTTTTTTTTCTAGGTGAGAGAGAGAGAGACAGCGTGAGCAGGGGAGGGTCAGAGAGAGAGGGAGTCACAGACTCTGAAACAGGCTCCAGGCTCTGAACTGGCAGTCAGCACAGAGCCCGACGCGGGGCTCAAACCCACGAACCGCGAGATCATGACCTTAGAAAGTCGGACGCTTAACCGACTAAGCAACCCAGGCGCCCACCACTGCAATTTTAGAACATCACACCAAAAAGTAGTCCTTTACCCACTGCCGGTCACTCCCCATCCCACCAAGCCCCCCAACTCTAGACAACAACTAATCTTTCAGTCTTTATGGATTTGCCAATTCCGGACCTTTTATATATATAATCATACAATATAAGGCCCCAAATTCTTTCACACAGTAAATGTTTCAAGGTTCACCCGTGTGTGTACTATGTTTAAGTAATCCAATGCTTTTTATGACTAAATATTTTCCATTGGGTGGGTGTACTGTACCATATTTTGTACATTTACTAGTTGGCAGATAGTTGGGTTGTTTTCTTTGTAAGTTTTTGGCTATTAGGAATGATGATGATGAACATTCATGTACATACCAAGGAGAGTTTTTTTGGGGGGTCCTCTAATTTTTATTTATTTAAAATTTTTTTTAATATTTGTTATTTTTGAAAGAGAAAGAGAGACAGAGCACGAGCAGGGAAGGGGCAGAAAGAGAGGAAGACACAGAATCCATCTGAAGCAGGCTCCAGTCACTGAGCTGTCAGCACAGAGCCCAACGCGGGGCTCAAACTCACAAACGTGAGATCACTACCTGAGCCAAATTTGGACGCTTAACCAACAGAGCCACCCAGGGGCCCCTATTTGTTTATTTATTTATGACAGGGGGGTCAAGAGGGGTGGGCGGAGGGAGGGGCAGAGAAAGAGGGACATAGAAAATCCTAGGCAGACTCTGTGTTGTCAGTGCAGAGCCCAACATGGGGCTCGATCCCACCAACTGTGAGATCGTGACACAAGTCAAAATCAAGAGTGGGATGCTTAACCTACTGAGCCATCAGGTGCCCCTTAGGTCCTCTAACTCATCCCTGAGGTACTTCCAAAGAAATAAAGAGATTTGCCCAAGGCTGCTTAACTTATCAACAAGGCAGAATTAATATCCTGGGCCTATGTATTCCAGTTCAGTATCTTCACCAGGCTCTAGTGATGCCACTAGTATTCACCGCCATGATAGTTTTCATACTCAAGACATCACTCTAAATCCCTTACTTCTGGATGCCCTTCTCTAAACTTCTCTAACCCCCTTCTAGCCTTCTTGTTATAACGAAATCAAAACAGCTTGCAGTTATCACATCATATTATCATATAAAGAAAATCAGAAACAAAGGCAGACTAAGCATATTATGAAAGCAACAAAAAAGAAGCACAAATCATACAAAAACATTTGCAGTTGTCAACTTAGCTAACTAAGATTTAGTGATGACTTACCTTTATTTTACAAGCATGACTGGAAGACTCCAATTGTAAATACTTTTTGTAGAAAATAATTTCATGCTCACTGAAAATAAAGTAAAATGCACATTACTTTTAATTTCATTATCATCTTTAACAGTTAAATTTAAAAATGAATTGTTTCAAATGAATAAGCAAGAAAACAAAAAGCAGAACCAGAGCCATAAACACAGAACACAAACTGATGGTTGCGAAAAGGATGGGCAAAATGGATGAAAGGGCATGGGAGACACGGGATTCCAGTTACAGAATGAATAAATTATGGAAGTAAAAGGTATAGCACTGGGAATATGGTCAATGACACTGTATGGTAACAGATGGTAGTTACACTTGAGGTCAGCACAGGATAACCTATAAAGATGATGAATCACTATGATGTATACTTGAAACTAATGTAACGTTGTGTACCAACTATACTCAAATTAAAAAAAAATTATTTTTGGGGCACCTGGGTGGCTCTGTCAGCTAAGCGTCTGACTTTGGCTCAGGTCATGATCTCACGGTTCGTGGGTTCGAGCCCTGCATTGAGCTCTGTACTGACAGCTAGCTCAGAGCCTGGAGCTTGTTTCGGATTCTGTGTCTCCCTCTTTCTCTGACCTTCCCCTGTTCATGCGCACGCGCGCTCTCTCTCTCTCTCAGAAATAAATAAAAACACTTTAACAAATTATTTTTAATTCGTTTCTAAGCCATTACTTAAATCCTGAGATTCAATTAGGGTAGAATCTTTGTATAAGAACCTAGAGAAAGATCAGGGCCCATGTAGGGCTCAGGTGGTTGAACAACTGACTCTTGATTTTGGCTCAGGTCATGATCCCAGGGTGGTGGAATCCCGCCCCTCATCAGGCTCCCTGCTGAGTATAAAGCGTGCTTAATTTTCTCTGTCTTTCTCTCTCCTCTGCCCCTCCCCCACTCACATGCGCTCTCTCTCTCTCTCGCCAAAAATAAAAATAAGTCTTTAAGAAAAAGACAACCTAGAGAAAAATCAAACTATAACAGGCTGAACTGTGGGTTACATAGGCTGGAGAGGAACAGGCTTGGGCCTGTGCACCGTCTGTAATGGACTTCCTTTCAGAAGCATGTGTGCAATGTTCCAGACTGACCGCCAAATCACCTCTGGAAGAGAGACCATTGTACATGCATGTAGGAAAAAGGCCAGGAAGAAATCAGGACTACACTGCAGTCTACACAGTCTATACAGTCTGACTAACTAGTGCAACCCTCTATCTAGTCAGCTCCCTCGATTAGCTCTAAATTTCCACACTTATAAAAATTGAGAAAGCTGACCTACACGATCTCCAAGATCCCTTAAAAGGAGAAACTTCTGTTCGTGCTGGCATGTTTTTATCTCCTCTCCCCTGGTGTCTGGCATCAGTGTCAGAGAATCAATAAATACCACAACCGCTGAGGACACATCACACCGCGTGGGGAGGGCACTTCCGCAGGAGCAAGTTACACACCTGTTATCCAGATCACTACACACATTCTTGCCCCTACTGGTTCCACAGTACTCCTCTCCTAAGTACACTTCCATATTTCTCGCTGAACTTAAAATGCCAATAGAAACGATTTCTTCACCTCCGTTAGGGTCACCTCTCAGGTAAAGGAAGCAGGGGTTTTCATCCTGGCTGTCGGGGCTTCTTTTCAAACTCACCAGACCTTGGCTGAAAAGAAAATCGTTCGAACGGTTACACGGCGCACCTGTCCGAACACTGCTCGCCACCCTCTTACTGGGCCACCGGGACTACTTCTAACTCACTTCCATTTACCACGGCGCTGCCCGCACCTTGCCAAGCACCCAGCAGATTCACAAGGAGACGGGCACACTCCAGACACCGGGGCTGTCCCCTCTACTTTTTCCTCGACTGGCGACTCAAGCCTCTGTAGGACCTCTCCTTCAACAGAAAAAGTTGCCTGGGCACCTACTGTGCGCACAAGAGTGGGAAACGGGGGCACAAGTGTGGGGAGCAGGATACAGTAAAAGGCAAAGGCGGATCTTTCTCATAATTAAGCTGACGGGGATTCTCGACGGTTGGGTTTTCTAACGCCCACCCGGGTCGACAAGAGGCCCCGGTCGGCTCGTCTCGGGGAGGGAGGCGGGCCCGGTTCCGACCCGCCGAGGTGCGGGTCCCCCGCCGCCAGGTCCCTTCCCGCACCCCGGGGCCCCGCCCTCTCCCCGCACGGCTCCGCAGGAGCGCGACCATCCCGGAGCCGCGGCCCGAGTCCCCGCCGGCCCTGCGCACCCCGGGGCAGGCGGCGCCAGCAGCTCCTCCCAGTCCAAGTCCGGGCCGCCGAGATCAGCCCGGGTGAGACGGAGGCTCCGGGCCAGGGCCCCGCAGGCAGCATCCCAGGAAGACGCCAGCACCAGGCGGCGGCTCAGTCCCGCGTCCTCGGCCCGGGGCTCCATTCTGCGGCCGCCAGCCCACGCCAACTCCGGAACCTCTCTTCCACGGCTAGTGTTTCCGCCGGTGCGGAGGGAGGTGAAGAAGCACAGCGACTTCCGGCTCGGCGGGCTTCAATTCCAAGACCCGCGGCTCCTCGTCCAGTGGGGAAAGGACCAGGCACCGGAGATACGCATGCGCGCGCCAGCCAGCCTCGGCAACGCGGTTCCAAACCTGCCGGGGACCGGCTCAAGGACGGAGCATGCGCCCGGGCGGCGCCACGGCCACAGGAGCTGTGCGCAGGCGCGGGGGGAGCCAGGCGGCTTTTTCGACGTCGTTCCGGGGAAATAGCAGGCGGTGTGGACGAGGCGTGTCTGGCCGCCCGGGAGGGTCGGTCCTGTGAGGAGAGTCCATCGTCGTAGGAGGGGTGCCGTCGCTGCACGCGATCTGGAGGACCTGCTGCCGACCGTCGCCGTGCCTGCGGTGGACGCCGCGGCCTTCCCGCCCACAGCAGCCCCTGGGCGGTGGGTCGGGCCGTGCAGTTGGGGGTTCTTTTACCTCCACGCGCCCCCCTCCCCACGTCGTCCCCGCGGGCAGCGGGTGGGTGGGTGCCCGCAGCGTGGCTTTAGCGGGCGGAGGTTCGCACGGTGTCACGGGCTGCGGTGGAGCCGAGGCGCCGGCCGGACGTCACCCCGTCGGTAGCCGCGGGCGCAAGGGCGGGACGGCGGCGGGCTGACCTGGCGCCCTCAGGCCTCAGCGCTGGGGAAGGAGCGGCGGGAGGGGCGGCAGCTGCCGTGAGCAGAAACCTGTCCCGGGCCGGCGGGAGTGGGGCCCCGGCGCTGGTGGACTGACATCCGAGCCGGGACTTGAGGGACCTTTCGCTTCTGGGTCCCGAAAAAGGGAGCTGATGGAACTTTCTAGTTGTCCCAAGGGATAGGAAGGCCACTAGTGCCTCCCCCCCACCTCCACCCATCCTCTAACTGGAAAGGCTTGTGCAGTTGAGTTTTTCATCTTTTGAAAGCAAAAAGGAAGTTAGGTCATAGATAAATGGAGCATCAAGTTCCAAAGTCCTGAAATGTAAAGGTTCAGGTTTGCAAAGATTTTTCAGTACTCCAGATTTATTCTAGCTGGTCTACATCAGTGTTTTTATTCTATATATCTTGTTTCCTGTAGTCATAAATTAACTTTAATCCATGTTAACATTTTGGGCAGTCCATAGGAAAATATGCTTTTCTTCAATAACCCCAATCTTCAATTTAAGGAGTGAAGTCAGCATTATCAACTGAATTCTGACTTCCTTAATGAGGCTGAATGACCAAGAGTCAAAAAAGTAAAGGCTCCCATACATTTAATAAATCACCAGGTCTTTCTTCAAAGCTGTAGCCATCCAGACAGTAAAGTACTGGCACAAAAAGCAGACACAGATCAAACGGAACAGAATAGAAAACCCAGAAATGGAGCCACAATTGTATAGTCAACTAATCTTGAACAAAGCAGGAAAGAAAATCTATGCAATGGAATAAAAGTCTTTTCAGCAAATGGTGTTGGGAAAACTGGACAGCACATGCAGAGGAATGAAACTGGACCACTTTCTTACACCATACACAAAAATAAATTCAAAATAGATGAAAGACCCTAAATGTGAGACAGGAAACCGTCAGAATCCGAGAGGAAAACACAGGCGGCGCTTCTCTGACCTCAGCTGTAGCAACTTCTTACTAGACACGTCTCTAGCAGCAAGGGGAACAAAAACACAAAATGAATTATCGGAACTTCATCAAGATAAAAACCTTCTGCGTAGCAAAGGAAACAAAAGTAAAAGGTGACCTCTGGATTGTGAGAAGATTTGTGCAAATGACATATAAGGGGCTAATATCCAAAATCTGTAATGAACTTATGAAAATCAACACCCCAAAAGTAACTCAGTTAAGAAATGGGCAGAAGGGGGCACCTGGGTGGTTCAGTTGGTTAAATGCCCATTCTGATCTCAGCTCAGGTCATGAATTCACAGTTCCTGAGATCAAGACCCATGTGAGACTCTGCACTGACAGTACGGGAGCCTGCTTGGGGTTCTCTGTTTCTCTCTCTCTCTCTGCCCCTCCTCCACTCAACCAAGCATGTGTGTGCTTTCTCTCTTCCTCAAATATTAAAAAAAAATAAATGAGCAGAAGACATGAATAGAAACTTTCCAAAGAAGACATCCAGATGCCTAACAGACACATGAAAAGATGCTCAACATCACTCATCATCAGGGAATTACAAATCAAAATCACAATGAGATACCACCTCACACCTGTCAGAATGGCTAAAATCAACACAGGAAACAACAGATGTTGGCAAGGATGTGGAGGAAGAGAAATCCTCTTACATTGTTGGTGGTTAAGAATGTGGAATGCAAACTGGTACAGCCACTTTGGGAAACAGTATGGAGGTTTGTCAAAAAAGTAAAAATATAGCTACCCTATGACCCAGCAATTGCATTACTAAGTATTTACCCAAAGGATACAAAATACTGATTAGAAGAGGTATATGCTCTCTGATGTTTATAGCATCATTATCAACAATAGCCAAAGTATGGAAAGAGCACAAATGTCCAATGTCCATCGACTGCTGAATGGATAAAGATGTGTGGTGTGTATGTATACACACACACACACACATATGCATATATATGTGTGTATATAATGAAATATTACTCCACCAACAAAAAGAATGAAGTCTTAAGATTTGCAACACTTGATGGAGCTACAGTGTATTAAGCTAAGTGAAATAATTCAGAGAAAGACAAATACCATATGATTTCACTCATGTGAAACTTAAAAAATTAAATTCATGTGGAATTTAAAAAATAAAACATGAACATATAGGAAGGGGAAAAAAGAGAAAAGCAAACCATGAGACTCTTAACTATAGAGAACAAACTGAGGGTTGATGGAGGGAGATGGGTAGGGAATGGGCTAAATGGGTGATGAGTATTAAGGAGGGCACTTGTGTTGAGCATTGGGTGTTATATGTAAGTGATGAATCACTAATTTCTACACCTGAAACTAATTTTACCATATATGTTAAGTAGCTACAATTTAAATAAAAACTTGAAATAGAAAATAAATAAATCATCAGGTCTTGACTTTCTTAAAACCTCATCTTTCTCCATCTCTGCTTCTTGTTTTCAATCATTAGCTTTCATCTGAACAATTCCAGGAGTTTCTTTACTGTCATTAATCTCTCTCTCTAAATATTTTATATATTTTTTGAGAACACAAAAGCAGGGGAAGGGGGTACAGGGGATCAGAAGTGGGCTCCACCACTGACAGTGATGAGCCCAACTCGGGACTTGAACACACAAATCTCGAGATCATAACCTGAGCCAAAGTTAAATACTCAACCAACTGAGCCACCCAGGCGCTCCTTTTCTCTCTCTTTTTTAATGAGTTCTGTGTCCGATGTGGGGTTTGAACTCATGGTTAAGCAATATTGCTGTACCCTGTATAGTTTTTAACACAGCCTGATCTCAACCTTTCTGAGGAAATGTGGAAATGATGGGGAAGCTCTTGATCTAGAGCTGAATCTGTGCTCACATCCATGATGTTGACTATGTAACATCTTCTTATACTAAAGTTGCTTTGTCCAGTAAAAGGATTAACTTGTTCGAAACTTGCACATTCCAAAAAAGACCTGGTTGTTGCCCGGCTCCCGGAAATACCCTCTAAGCTGTTGGAATATCCTGCGTGATAAAATTGTCTTTTAACTAGGGGTCTTGGACCCCACCATCTTGAGGTTATGCTAACAATAGGATTTATGGTGAGGGGCCACATTCTATCAGTTTGACCCATGAAAGGGCTGAAGACTGAGCAACTAATGTCAGCACACGAGTGTTCCATACCTACATGACTGACCCCCAATAGAAACGTTGGACACCAAACCTCTGAGGAGCTTCCCTGGTTGGCAATACCCCTGCGCATGATGGCACATATCATTGCTTGGAGAATTACGTGCTGTCATCACAACTCCACTGGGAGAAGACAGCTGGGAGATTGCATCCGGTCTTTCTCTGGATTCTGCCCTATGTGCCTCTGCGTTACTAGTTTTAGTCTGCATCCTTTCATGTTTTAAGAATCTGTTATAAGACACACACAGCAACAAGACATGGTTATATCTCATAGCCATGTTAGACTCATAATCATGAGTATAGCAGCTTTTCTGAGTTCTGAGTCCTAACAAATCATTGAACCTGAGGATGGTGTTGGGGGCTACAACACAGCAGTGGTCATCAGTACACGTCAAGAGGTGGGCATTCTTCCATTAGTAACAGCATTTATTTTTTTTAATGTTTTTAATTTATTTCTGAGAAAGAGAGAGCGAGCGAGCGAGTAGGGGAGGGTCAGAGAGAGAGGGAGTCACAGACTGAAGCAGGCTCCAGGCTCTGAGCTAGCTGTCAGCACAGAGTCCAACGTGGGGCTCGAACCCACGAACCGTGAGATCATGACCTGAGCTGAAGTCGGACACTTAACCGACTGAACCACCCAGGGGCCCCCATTAGTAACAGCATTTAAATTCTAAGTGGGGAAAGTTATGGTTTTATTAGGGGTTAGTGTGTATGGCTTTTAAAAAGAACCCCACACTACTATTAAATGTATTCTTTTTTTTTTTTAATGGACCACTTTTTTTTTTTAATGTTTTTTTAAGTTTATTTCCAGGAGAGAGAGAGAGACAGCGTGAGCAGGGGAGGGTCAGAGAGAGAGGGAGTCACAGACTGAAACAGGCTCCAGGCTCTGAGCTGGCAGTCAGCACAGAGCCCGACGCGGGGCTTGAACCCACGAACCGCGAGATCATGACCCAAACGAAAGTTGGACGCTTAACCAACTAAGCCACCCAGGCGCCCCGTTAAATGTATTCTTGCTTCCCTACCTCTGCCCACCATCACTACCCTAGAGTCTTACTAAAGAGAATAATTTTAAAATAAAGTTAGGGGAAAAGATTTGAAAATACAAATAGAGGTATTAGGGGTGAGGTAGGTAGGAATCACATAACTGTGTCTTGTTGCTGTGTGTGCCTTACAACAGATTCTTAAATACTTTGGTTTTAGGACCTCTTTATGCTCTTAAACTATTGAAAACTGCAAAGAGGTCTTATTCTCATAACTTAAAAAAAATAATTTGTTCTGCTTGGATCTACA